GGGACCGGGTCTGGATACGGGACCGGGTCTGGATACGGGACCGGGTCGGTACGGGACCGGGTCTGGATACGGGACCGGGTCTGGATACGGGACCAGGTCTGGATACGGGACCGGGTCTGGAGACCGGGTCTGGATACGGGACCGGGTCTGGATACAGGACTGGGTCGATACGGGACCAGGTCTGGATACTGGACCGGGTCTGGGATGTGCTGGGACCGGCTGCTGGGGAGCCCAGACCTGTGGTCCAGGTCGGAACCAGGAATGTCTCGGATCATGTCGGTTCGGCTCGTGAGTCAAGTACTGCAGCAGCAACAGCATGACGTCACCCGGTGACCCGGGTCCAGGTGTTCGGGCTCCAGCCTGACCCTACCTGAAGGTGAGGATGCTCAGCGGGCGGTAGGACTTGTGGCTCGTGTTGTCCGCCATCCTCTTGCCCCAGAAGTCGTTGGTGAAGATGTTCCGGAGGCTGGAACCGGGCCGAACGTCCGGGTTGTTCACGATAGCCCACACGTCGTCGTGGACCAGCTCCCCGTGGAGAGAGTTGCTGTAGCACAGGACACACAGGGACACCAGCGCCGCGTAGCGACCCCCGAACCGAGCCGCCTCCAGCCGGAGCCTGGCCCGGGCCCGCTGCTGGGCTTTCTGCTCCGGTCCCGACGTTGTCATGTTGAGCCCGGTTGTCCCTGCGGCACCGCTGGGTCCGAGGCACCGCAGAACCAGAACATTCACCCTGGCCGCTGTCGCTTCTTCAACAAGTCCGCTCACCAGCTGCTTGTGCTACTGCGCATGCGCAGACTGAAATACGTCATCTTCCTAAAGCGTTACTGGAAATAAACCGAGATAAAAGGTTTATGTGACATCTGTGGAGATAAATGTATGACCTGTGGACCTGTAACTTCATTTATGCACCTGTAAAAAAGCTTTACATGAATATCTTTTTATTGCAAAGTCAAAGGAAAAACCGGTTACAAATGTGTAAAATTAGATTTACACAAATATAATTAAAGTTACACATGTAATTCATCATTTGCTTTTTTTTTTTAACTTGTCTGTTTTCTACAACTGCAACTCAAATGTACAACTTCTCAAATGTGCCGCTAAGAGACCTCAACTCTCCTGCACAGGTGCCTCCTCTGCTGGGTGTGTTTATGTTTATGTTTATGTTTATTTGTCATCTGCAGGTTAACACAAAGTCAACAATGCAATGGTCCTGATGATAAGACCTGATTCAACTCGCTGACACAAAACAAGAAATACTAAAGCATGCAATAAGGGTACAAAATAGAAAAAGAAATATAACATTTATAAGGTCCAAATGAAATATAGTAAACAAAAACATAGTAAAATATAACAGTGCAAGTACAATATATTTGTATAAATACGTATTTCACAGGTAGTAATATAAGCTAAAGTGCACATGATATATACTGCACATAACTAACATTCACTACACAGGTTGTGTGACAGGTCATTGCACAGGTAGTGAGGAACATTGAGATGAATTGTGATGTTAAGGTAGTGACATACATGATGCAGCCACATAGTGCAGCAGCAACAAATATATTAGGTGTCCCAGATATGAGTACGTTTTGTTGAGCCGAGACAGAGAGAAAATGTCCAGTACCACAGTACAGTCGGGGCTGGATGACTCCAGCCATGCTTCCATAAAGGCCAAAACACAACAGCTCCTCGTGTCCCGCTCACAATACATTTGTGTGTGCAGGTTCTACAGTCTATTCATCAGAGACTGATGACGTACGATGTGACGATGTATGATGTGATGACATACAATGTGATGACATACAATGTGATGATGTACGATGTGATGATGTACAATGTGATGATGTACGATGTGATGACATACAATGTG